GAAGAGTGCATTAATTGTCCAAATCAGGGCTAGCGCAGCTGGGCAGGGGTACATGTATAGGACCCAGCACCCTCCTAACCATCTGCCTTTCTGGAGAGCCAAAGAGAAAGAGTTCAGGATTGCCTGGTGCTGCCAGGGTTCATGGAGGTGGGGAAGGGGGACCCCAGGCAGGAAGGCTGCTTCAAATTGGCTTGACCAAGGCCAGGGTGATTTGTGCCCCCTCCCCAGGCCCAGCCAGGACCCCAGTTTCCTTCCAGCTTAAACATGAGAATGGGGGGCTGGGACAAAACAGAAGCCATTTCAGCTGCAATGTTGTGGGATATGGAGCAGAGTTCAGGGTCCCCCAACTTCTCCAGCCCTGTGTACAAAATCCCAGGCATTCTGGGGCAGAATGAAGACCCCCTAGACTTTTTTCTGACTTCTCAGGGGACTGGCCTCAGTGAAGAAGCAAAACATTCACTGGCCTTCTATGTGACCTTGGACCATTCCTCACTCTCTCTGGGCCTCAGGGTCCCTGTGCACAGTGACAGGGCAGAGATGAGGGTTACCAGATGATCCATAAAGAATTTTCCAGCCCCATTTCAGCCACGGTCCTATCCAGGACAGTGCAAGGGTGGCAAAGCCCCTCTCCCTGCCTCCCAAGCCATTGGCACCACTTGCTGCCCCCCGCATGCCGCAGACCCACCTCACACCTGCAGATGCCTGTTCCAGGGGCTCTGTGCCGAGCACACCACCTCAGCCTAAGCAGCTCAGTGTTGGCCCATGGATTTAGTCGCAGCTGCTATCCCCAGAGACACTGCCATCTGCGCTGCCCTGGGTGCTGGAGGCAGAGATAGGGCGAGGCCAATGCCCCTCACGGGAGATGGAGCTTCTCAGATCCAGTGGCTCTGATTGGGCCAGGAGGGGGCAGTCCTGGGCTGGCTCAGCACCGTTGTACCCTTCCCTGCCCATCAAGACCTTTCCCTCTACTCCCCACACTCCCCCACTCTCAGGATGGCAGGAGGTGGGACCTGTCTCAGCCAATCAGCAGCTTGGCAGAGCAAGGGCTTTATCCTCTGTTGCCCTGGCAACCAGCCTTCTCTTCTGGATCCCTGGTACTGTGCACGTGGTCCAGCAGATGACAGGGAGGGCAGGGTTGGGGGATGCGGGAGGGAGAGAGTCACACAGCAGGCCGCTGGGCCCCAAGCCTGACAGGCCTAGGAGGAGAGGACCCCGGCTGCTAACTGGGAGGGTTTGGTGGTTTACTGTTTGGGAGCAGGGAGAGATTGGAGTCCCTGGCAAGTAGATGGGGACAAAGAAACAGTGGCCAATAGAGCCAATGAGGGTCATATGTTATAGAAGGAAGAACCAAGACTGAGGCTGCGAGTCTGGACGCATTGGCTCAATATAGCATTTACTATGCGCCAGACACTGTCTTCAGTGCTTTATTTATGTTAATTCACTTAATCCTCAGCCAAGGAAACACAGCAAGAAAATAGCAATGCCAGGGTCAGAGCCTTAGCCTGGCCTTCAGGCCCCCCACAAAGGGCTGCCCCTCCCCATTCTGCCTCAGCAGCCCTGCGGCTCCCCTGACTAACGTACAGCCAGCACAGGCACCAAGCACCCCCACAAACCAGGCACGGCCCCACAGGTCACTTCCCGCAGCCCTCCCCGCTGGGTTACTGGTGACAGCCCATTTTGGAATGAGCTACAGCTC